TTTGCATGAATTGATTAAAACCAACATTAATTTTGATTCAAAGCGTACACAAAGGTCACAAGAGGGTCACAAATTGGAACATTTCACCGAATTTTCTCAGTTTTGATGAAATTTGAAATACCGTCATATTTGAAACACCTTTCACTAGTAAAGATAAAGCGCAAATTTGCATGCGTATCTACGATATTCTTGTAACATAAGATATATCTGATATTAGTGCAAGATATAAGAACATTTTGTCAAATAGACAAGCTTGTGCTAAGTGCTTTCTGAAACAAAATGTGCCCGAAAATTGCTGAAAATTTTAACAAAATCCCATGGGTCACAACGCTCACCTGAATCACTGTATGGTCCTTCTGTTCTTCATCAGCAGATTTCCCCCTATTCTAATATACATGTTATTCTATCTTAAATTAAGATCACATACTGTGGCCCAATCCTAACCCCGGGGGACTTGATTTGAACAAATTTAAAGTTGTTACCTGAGGATGTTTCCATAAAGATATGACTAATCATGGCCTTGCTGTTCTTGAGAAGAAGATTTTTAAAGACATGTTATAAAGATATATTATAAAGATATTTATAAATGTGACTAATCATGGCTTTGCTGTTCTAGAGAAGAAAGATTTCCCCCATATATTCCCATGTAAAAATGATCGCTTAAAGTGGCCCTACCTTACCCCGGGGATCAAATTTGAACAAATTTGAATCTACCCTATAACAGGAAGCTTTCACACAAGTTTCATCTTTTCTGGTTATTGAGAAAAAGATTTTTAAATGACCCCACCCAATTTTTACTTTTTCTTAATTATCTCCCCTTGTAAGAGGGTGTGGCCCTTTGTTTAAAAAAAAAGATGTGTTTGTGAAACACTGATGCCCCCGTATGGCAGCTTATGGCGAAGGTTAAAGTTTCTCAAATGCAAGTCAAACTCCAGGTCAAAAGATCAAAAATGTTGGTACCCAAAGAAAGGTCTTGTCTAAAGGAATATACCTGTGAAATATGGAAGTCATAGCACCAACGGTTGAAAAGTTATGGCAAAGGTTAAAGTTTTTTCAAAGTAAGTAAAATGGCAAGGTCAAGGTCAAATGGTGCCAAAGGGAAGGTCTTGTCACATATGATACACATGATCCTGAAATGTGAAAGCCCTAGAACCAAAGGTTCAAATGTTATGGCAAAAGTTATTTTTTTATAAGTAGGTCAAACTCCAAGGTCAAGGTCAATGCCAAAATTGTTGGTTTCCAAAGGAAGGTCTTGTCACAAGGAATATACATGTGAAGTATGAAAATCCTAACACCAACTGTTCAAAAGTTATGGCCAAGGTTAAAGTTTTTCAAAATTAAAGTAGGTCAAAATCCAAGGTCAAGGTCAAAAGGTCAAAGTTGTTGGTATCTAAAGAAAGGTCTTGTCACAAGAAAAACACATGTGAAATATGAAAGCCCTAGCACAAAATGTTTAAAAGTTATGGCCAAGGTTAAAGTTTTTTCAACAGTAGGTCAAACTCCAAGGTCAAGGTCAAAGGGTCAAAGTTGTTGGTGCCCAAAGGAGGGTCTTGTCACAAGGAATACACCTGTGAAGATTGAAAGCCCAAGTACCAACTGTTCAAAAGTTATTGCCAAGGTTAAAGTCTCATACATGTAAAATTTTGCAAAAGTGGGTCAAACTCCAAGGTCAAAAGGTCAAATATGATGGTACCCAAAGAAAGGTCTTGTCACAAGGAATACACATGTGAAATAAAGTCATAGCTTCAACCAATCAGAAGTTATGGGCAAGGTTAAAGTTTTTGCGGACAAACAGACGGACGGACGGAGAGGGCAAAAACTATATGACCCCGAATCTTCGATTACGGGGGCATAAAAACACAAATCCTCTTAACCCAAGAATACTCTGTGCCAAGATTGGTTGAAATTGGCCTAGTGGTTTTGGAGAAGAAAATGAAAAATGTGAAAAGTTTACTCCAACAATGACACTGACGAAGAGAGACAATGGACAATTTCGATTAGAAAAGCTAATAATATGAGAAAATTCGGAAACTGACATATTAGTTCTGTGAACTTCATGTGACCTCTGTGTATTCCATCACTTAAAATCAATTCTCATTTTGAAGCAAGGATGACAACAGGATATTGATTATGAACATTGTTAAAAAATATACCCTATGGGTCTAAAAAGATGATTTTGGTTTATTTTTTAAAATTTCATTATGCCCCCGTAATTGAAGATTCGGGGCATATAGCTTTTGCCCTATCCGTCCGTCTGTCTGTCTGTTTGTCCGCAAAAACTTTAACCTTGCCTATAACTTTTGATTGGCAAGAGCTATGACTTTCATATTTCACAAGTGTATTCCTTTTGACAAGACCTTTTTTTTGGATACAAACAACTTTGATCCGTTGACCTTGACCTTGGAATTTGACCTACTTTTCACAAACTTTAACCTTGGTCATATCTTTTGAACAATTGGAGCTAGGTCTTTCATACTTCACATGTGTATTCCTTGTGACAAGACCTTCCTTTGGATACCAACAACTTTGACCCGTTGACCTTGACCTTGTAGTTCGACCTACTTTTGAAAAACCTTAACCTTGGTCATAATTGCTGAATCAATGGTTGATGTTACATTGTAGGACTTTCATATTTCACATGTGTATTCCTTTTGACAAGACTTTCCTTTTGATACCAACAATTTCGGTCCATTGACCTTGACCTTGATTTTGACTTAATTTTGAAAAACTTTAACCTTCTCCATATCTTTTCAATGGTTGGTGCTATGGCTTTCAAATTAAACAGGTATATTCCTTGAGACAAGACCTTTCTTTTGGTACCGACATTTTTTATATCTTGACCTGGAGTTTGACTTGCATTTGAGAAAGTTTAACCTTCGCTATAAGCTGCCATACGGGGGCATCGGTGTTTCACAAACACATCTTGTTCCAAAATGATTTGCATTCGTTTTTTAAGATACATGCACCATATTTCCGATATCTAGCAAATTATGAAAGTGTCATCCCTGACACGGTTTAACAGATATATCTCGTCTCCTCATAAAATTGTTTATATCTGAAATGGATGAACGATTTTAGCCAAGAAAGCATTAATCTAAGATAAAAGCAAAAGGGCTTTTACGAATGTCCATATCCATAGATAACAGATCGGGGCCCTGTTAAAAGTTTTAAAGAGTTTTATGGGTCAGATATTTAGGACTGTAGAAATACGAATGTGTAAAGTTTTCCTTGGGAAAAAAAGTAAGTGGTGATAAACAATAGCGTAGTAATAGGAGATAAACAAAATATACCGTGCAGGCGCGGATCCAGGAATTTTTTCCTAAGGGGGGAGGGGTCCACCTAGGTTTTCTGAAGGGAGGTGGTTCCAAAGTCATTTTTATTAACTTCAGTATATACATGTACTTTTAATAACTCTGCAAATTACAATGGGGGGGGGGAGGGGCGAACCCCCCTCCTTCTAGATACGTGTATGCAGTGTAGTACTATCCACTCTTGTACACGCCTTTTTATGCCCCCGTAATCGAAGAGTCGGGGGCGTATAGTTTTTGTCCTGTCCGTCCGTCTGTCTGTCAGCCTGTCTGTTTGTCCGCAAAAACTTTAACCTTGCCCATAACTTTTGATTGGTTGGAGCTATGCCTTTCATATTTCCCATATGAATACCTTGTGACAAGACCTTTCTTTGGGTACTATAAAATTTGACCTTTTGACCTTGACCTTGGAGTTTGACCCACTTTGCTAATTTTTTTCAGACTTTAACCTTGGCCATAACTTTTGAATAGTTGGTGTTAGGGCTTTCAAGCTTCACATGTGTGTACCTTGTGATAAGACCTTCCTTTGGATACCAACAACTTTGACCCTTTGGTCTTGACCTTGGAGTTTGACCTACTTTTGAAAAAACATTAACCTTGGCCATAACTTATGAACAGTTGGTGGTAGGGATTTCATACTTCACATGTGTAATTCTTGTGACAATTCCTTCCTTCAAATACCACCAACTTTGACCCTTTGACCTTGCCCTTGGAGTTTGACCTACTTTTGCAAAACATTAACCTTGGCTATACCTTTTGAACGGTTAGTGCTAGGGCTTTCATACTTCACATACGTAATCCTTGTGGCAAGGCCTTCTTTTGGATACCATCAACTTTGACCCTTTGACCTTGACCTTGGAGTTTGACCTACTTTTGCAAAACTTTAACCTTGGCTATTACTTTTGAACGGTTAGTGCTATGGCTTTCATACTTCATATATGTATTCCTTGTGACAAGACCTTCCTTTGGATACCAACAACTTTGACCCTTTGATCTTGGAATTTGACCTACTTTTGAAAGACTTTAACCTTGGCCATAACTTTTGAACGGTTGGTGTTAGGGCTTTCATATTTCACATGTGTATTTCTTGTGAGAAGGCCTTTCCTTGGGCACCATTATTTTTAACCATTTGAAGTTGACCTTGATGTTTGACTTACTTTTGAAAAACTTTAACCTTTTCCATATCTATTCAATGGTTGCTGCTAGGGTTTTCATATTTCACAGGTATATTCCTCGAGACAAGACCTTACTTTGGGTACCAACATATTTGATTTGCATTTGAGAAAGTTTAACCTTTGTTATGAGTTGCCATACGGGGGAATCAGTGTTTCACAAACACATCTTGTTTGGTTTTGTTCTACATAGTAAGGTATGAATTGGCAGGAATTTTAAAATTCCAATGATTTATTGGGTATATGTATTTCTCCACAAAGAATTAATTATCATTTAACTACATGTAGATGCAGAAGTTACAAGTTACCATTGAAAATCATGTAAATATAACGGTCCTCAATTTCAAATGTTTTGAAATTCATTAGTATGATGGTGGGACAATTTTTCATATATATGAGAAATAATTAAAAAAGATGTTTCACAAATTTTTGATTGAAATATTTAGTTAAATTCATACATATATACAAATTACATCGGAGTCGCCTCTGAATTCAAGAAAGAAAAACATTCAGTCTCTGTTTCACTTGTCGAATATTTAGTCAATAGTCCTTACAACTGGGTTTTTTCCGTCATATTTGTTAGGACGCTCACATTTCCAAGGGAAATTTCTGATAAAGCTACAAAAAATAAACAGAGGCTATTTAATTAAGAAAGCTTAAATATAACCTTTAAAACATATTTCAATATTTATTATGAAAATAACAAGTGTATCTGGAAAGTCTTAATTTGTATATACATGTGTATCTAGTTAACAAGAGTAAATCTAAATCTGATGTTGATTCTACAGAAATATTTACTCACCAAGTTTCATAGTAGATTCAGAGGAAACTTTAGTTGCTTTTTTAACCATCGTGAACAAGGTGTCCCCCTTCTCCCCCCATCCGTGTCCGTATGCCTCGGCCGGATACGCTGGTTCTCCGTGTTTTGGAATGTCCAAACCTATAAAGAAGCTTAAAAATTAGACAAGCAGCAAATACGGAAGCAATTTACAGATGAGACTAATTCTTTTAAGATTTCAATTACCTTTCGTTTCCCACTCGAATGATACTCTTAAGAGGTGAAGCTTTTTAAGGATGTAGAACATAACAAAACAAAGAGCACCAGTCCACGCAATAATGGCCACCAGGCATGTCAGCTGCCAAGCCAGGGTCTGTAAATACGATATTTTTTTTTTATTTACAAGTATCTTAAAAGGCAATAAAGTATTGTTAATTGTTTTGAAATATAAAAGTCATTTAAGACATTGTTCATCAAATTTAGAAGAAATCATATTGTTTGTCATTTGCTATTGATTGGAAATGTCAGAAAAAAAGGGTATGTTGCATTATGGAAATTTTATAGTTTCATACCAGACCGGCCTCGGCATTCCATTTATACAGAATCCCAACATCTCTAGAAAGGAGCCCGATTGAAATTACTCCCCACACTCCTCCTCCGTAGTGCACTGTCAAACAAATATAATGAATTTCAGCAATACTTAACGTCACTAATGACAAGAAATAAACCACATTATCAAACAAAATCTCGTGTTACATGTTCCAATATTTTTAGTTATATTTACAAAGGGCATTTGTTTTATATGGGTCTCCAACCATTCTTATTAAAGTTCAATGAGCAAGGATACCATGAGTTTATGTTTATTTCTACCTGCGCATGCGTCCAGAGGGTCATCAACTTTGAATTTGAATAGAACCAACCATGTGGTGATCATATAGGCAACACCTCCTCCAATTCCAACAATAAAAGCAGCATAAGTTTCCATTTGGTTACAACCAGCACAGATGGATACCTACAAGCAAATTAACAAAATTTTCAGAGTACATTGCCTGTTTTACTTTAGAATACACACCATGAATTAAATTGTGGCCAAACCTGTATGTCTTGTTGCTTCATAGACATTAATACATAAGAAAGCTGTCAAAGAGAGAGAGAGAGAGAAAGAGAGAGAGGGGGGGGGCAAATCTTGAGACTTCAAAGAATTATCTGTAAAATTACCATTCCTGCTAAAGCACCATTAAGCGTGGTTGCAAAACTCCACTTCCGATCTCCAAACCATGGAAGTTTGTTCATGAACATTGTTGTAAAAGCGCCGGAAGAACCTGACATGACGGTATTCTTTATCGCCATAGCGACTGCAGCTCCATCTCCAGGGTTAGAAATAGAGCCTTGGGAGGAGCCGTTGAAAGCCAGGAAACCAAAGATCAAAATAAATCCTCCGAGGGCAGCCAGCTACAATAGAACGGTTCCATCAGTGCAATAATCCGGCGTAAAATTTTCCTTTACTTTTTAAATCATGTGCAGTGCAGATAATGAAAACAAGGTGCAATATAACCAGAATGTCTTACCGGTACAGAGTGACCTTTGATCTCCAGTGGTGCCCCTGTTTCTTTATCGAATCTCCCAATTCTGGGTCCCATTACCAATGCCGCCAAAAATGCAGCGATCCCACCACATGTATGCACTACTCCGCTACCCGCAAAATCCTTAAAGTAAAAAATAAAGAAAATACAATTGATTCAAAAAGGAGATTAATGTCTAAATAAAACTTGTCAACGACAATAATGACAATTGTTTTTTGTTTGTTTGTTTGTTTTTTTAAATACATTCAAACAAACTTCTTTAATGTAAGAGGTGCTTACTGTACACCTGTATAGTTAATAAAAATATGCAGCAAAATAGAACGCAGTTATAGTGTAGACACGCCTTTAACTGCAATATGCACATCTGTCATCAAATACCGGCCATAAACTGATGAGAGTTTATCTACTATTGTGATAAAACTAACTAGCGGTTCGTGATATCAGTGTTTCTCTGTATGTGGTAAGTAAACTGACACACACACACATACATTCTCACTCTCATTCTCTCTCTCTCTCTCTCTCTCTCTACCTGGTATGATATTGCGATCGTATTGGTGGAGTTGTCTCCCGTGTCGTAAGTGAAGCCCTGGTTCATCCATCCCTCCGACGACCACGCCCAGTGTGTCAATACAGGGTAGATAAATCCTATATAATACATCATGTAATTCATTGACGTGTTTTATGTTTAAAACAAGGAGAGAAAGAAGGGGGTCAACCCCTTGCCTTCTGCTTCTCATCAACTTCGAATCTTGAATTTAATTTGGGTAAGTTTCAAGTAAAGTGAGAAGAAAACCAAAGAACATAATACATTTGTACATGTATATTGAGGTTTGATTAATAACAGATTAGCATGATAAAACAATGCTGTAAAATAAAAGAATCAATCAATTATACCTGTTATTAAAGAACTGTAAACAAGATAAGCTATGAATTCGCATCTTTCTGCAACTGCTCCAGAAACAATCGTGGCAGCGGTGGCAGCAAATACGTACTGGAAAAACCAGGTGGCGTAGGATGAATCGTCCATACCGCCGTGGGCAAAATGATCGTAACCTATGAAGGCGTTCCCCGCGCCAAATGCGAAGGCGTATCCGAAAATCCAATAGAACACTCCTGAAATGACTGGAAAGAAAAATCAATGAAATGTAAATTTGGATTAAATGCAGAATATCCGAATTATAAAGAAAACTTTTGTGCGATTTCATTTTTTCTCACAATGTCAGGAATGACAGTCATAATACCTACACTCTGCTGTTTGACTCTATGGTAAGGTTATTCATTTAATTCTTGTTAAAGACTCATTTCACTGAAGAAAGTTATCAATTAACGAGAGACACTCCATATTTAGTGGATTCAAATTAAGATAATGTATGGACTTGAAAATGCTTGAAGAAGAATATTCTTCAAAAAACTTCAGCTGTAAAATACATGCACAGATCTAGAGGGGGTGGGGGTGGGGGTCCGGAGCCCCCTGGAATTTGCAGAGGTATTAAAAGTATATACTGAAGGAAAGAAAAAATGACTTTGGAACCCCCCCCCCCCCAGAAAACGTGGACCCCACATCACCACCACGAAATAGGTGTTTTTCACGTTTGGGAAATGGATTTGAGTTTTGTTTTGTTTTGTTGGTCAAGAAATTTTCATAGGTTCTGGGTCCATACGTGGTCGTGTGGACTCAGGACCCCTGGTGTTGTGAGGATGACGCAGTATCTGAAATTTTATGTATACATGAAAGCAACATCTTTGTAAGTTTGATAATTGTTACGTTGAATATGTAATCACTATGTAATCACTTTTGAATGCAGCTCTTTAAGATATCACATGCTGCATCCGAAGCATCTTTACCGATTTGCATCCCAAGGTGCAATATCGCTACACAATCCTCGATTTATATATTTTTCAGAAAGTTGGGCATACCAAAAAAAAGGATCCATCTTTCGTAATGTACTTCATGCAAGATTGGTCATTCTTATACCATCCATACAAAAATGAACAACTCTTGATCTGTCGATACCTAAGAGTGAAAATTACTTTCACAACTTTCACTCATCCGAAAAATGTAGGTCACATGCAGTATCTGAGACGTGATTGATAGTATGCATCCCAAGGTGTAACGTCTATGTTAAACTGGTCAAGGCAAGACTTCTAGATATTTCGGACCGAACAATAAACATGCAAGCTCCAAAAACATCTATCTGAGCACTCATCCAGAAAATTTATCCTGAGCTTCTCTTGCAATAAGCATCCCCAGATACATCAACCCTACAAGTTTGGTTTAGGTAGGGCTTATATGTAAAACTATTTTTGGAATGATCCTGCTCCAGGTATTAATATCTTTCTGATCAGTCTTTCCGAAAATATAAACAGCTTCTGAAGCATTATGATATTATGTATTCTTGTATGCAACATGTGTGCAAGATTTGACAGGGTAGTACATACAGCTACATGTACTTGAGAAACGATCTGCTCCAAGAAAGATCTTTAGTTTATGATCATTCATCCAGAAAAATAGGTCACATGCAGAATCCAATTCATGATTAATAGTATATGCACCATTATTGTCATTATTCTATAGTAAGTTTGATAAAAGGAAATATAGCTTCTTTGAAATAAATTCGCTACAAAGATTTTACAATCTTATAATTCATCTGGAAAATATAGGCCACTTTCAGAAACCGAAACCTTATTGCACTTGAGAAAATGATGTGAGAAATTTTTTTCTAAGTATGAGGCCTTTTATGGGGTTGTTTAACATAATAAGGCAGACAAAATGAACTAGTACATTGCAATTAAATTGCAAAGTGAGAATTCTTTGTCCCCAAAGAAGGTCATGTTTCCTGAAGCAACGATGTCATTACCCTCTATAGTTTTCAAAAGATGACTTATTTAAGCAATTACGTATCTTTTAAGATTACACAATCTATTCAATCCATTTTTTTTTATAGAATTAGATATCACCACGCCAACCAGTAAGTCACGGTTGAGAGAGTATAACACCGGTACCTCTCTTTGCTGGACTTGTAATGGACTTTTTCATGGTTCAGAGAATAGTGATAAAAATGGATAGTGCGTTTATATGATCAAAGATAGAAAATGAAAAATTACACAAAAACATATACACACAATAATGATAATTTCTTCTTTTCATTTGAGAGATTTGGGAGAAAATAAAAGTTTGAACCTTACAGGAATCTAACAGATTCTTTATCAGGATATTCGTGGTGTTTTTACTTCGGACACAGCCAGATTCGATCAAAGCAAATCCACCCTGCATTACTGAAAAAAAAAAAATCATAAAGCTAATAGGGGCTTCTTTTTTTTTTTTTTTTTTTTATCATATTCAACAAATTAAATGTAAATTTTAGGAAAATATTTTAATGCTTTATAGTCTTAAAAAAATTGAAAAAAAAAATCATTTAATTCATCAGCGCATTTGCAAATGAAAAATGAATGTCAGTAAACCTTTATTTTGTAGTTATTTTAATTCTCTCTCTCAGAAAATAATCTTTTCTCTTCTTTTCATTAGTCTGAATTTATATATATATATATTTCTACCACCTAAATATTTTGCACATAAAGTACAGGAAAAATGGAGATAGAAGGAGTAGTAAAACTTACAGTATATAATGATCCCCATCAGGACCAGAAACATATTATCCATGTTCTCTGCCGCGCTCGTCTTCCATTTTTCCAAATCCTTTGTTGCTTCTGCTAAATTTTCTATTGCTTCTGTTAAGTTTCTTAAATCAGTAGACATTCTGTTCTTTTTTCTTTCTTTCCTGCAAATTGGATTTTTTTTCTTGGGATAGTGCGACGAATTATTGAATCGCCCTTCGGTTTATATGGTAGATAGCTTCATGGTCTAGTGATCCTATCCATACCCATGACATTTAGTGACCTGTCATTTCAATAAATATAAATTTTTTGGCAACAACGAAAGTAAAATGCTATAGATAATAAAAACAGTAATTTAGTGAAGTATATTAGGTCGGTTGGATGAATTTTGGTAAATATCACATAACAGGCAGTTCAGAACCTGAAACTTAACTGATAGGCTATATACGTTGTGACACATAAATATTAAATTATAACAATAGTAATTAGCGCAATTAATGAATAGAGGTAAATCAATTCAGATGACACCGTTTGAGTTGGATAACAGTTACGTAATAATCTTATTAAAATTTGATGTAATTACAAGTAGAACAAATTTAATTTCTTTTAAATGAGTAATTCTCATAAAAGATTTTAAAAGGTGTTACTCAAAATGTCTTCTCAATTTCTTACACTATGACACGTTTATAAAAAATAATGATCCCCCCTTTTCAGGAAAGTTTTAGAGTGTTTGAAAATCCTTTTTGCTAAAATGGATTCAGAATGAAGTATCCTCTATACAGTCAAGAAAAAAAATTAAATATTGAGATAATTATAATCTGTGAATATTTAGTTTATTTACTTCATTGTCAAAATAAGGTAATACACATTTACCCCCAGGGAAAATATTCAAAGACAATTTACGAAGAACAGAAGAACAAAAATCAATGTTGCAAATTACTAAAATGGGAAAATACATGCAAATAAAGTGTTCAATTAATCTGTTTTCTCTTTTAAATTCTTAAGAATGCTTGAAATGATGAGTGATACATAAATTATATAAAGGAGCAGATCACTCTAACTGAATATATGTGATGAAAATGCACACAGTGCAATATCTTATGAAAAGAAATCTACAAATAATTATGCTAATGACATGTTATTTTATTAACCCTATTTAGTTTAAATTTATCAATATATATTTACAGAACAATGTCTTTTTTCTTTCAACTTCTTCTTCTTTTTTTTTTTTTTTTTTTTTGTTGTGTGAAATTTCGGGCCTTGACGAATTTGAATTCAGTTAATAATAAAGCATTTTTACGTCTGCAATGAAATATTATCTCCAAGGAATTCTTCGATTCATAGTGTTAGAGAACTTACGTCACTAAGCTGGATGAATAATGACAAGTAGAGCATAAAGAGTGTTCCAATGTAGGGTAGGGCAGCGAGTCTTTGCCTCCATGAAATGAAAGAGAAAAAAAGGAATCATTATATTATATCTGATTATTCTAAATTACCATTCTGTTGCTATCATCTACATGTGAACAGTCCTAAACTTTTTATACTCGTATATATATATATATATATATATAGAGAGAGAGAGAGAGAGAGAGAGAGAGAGAGAGAGAGAGAGGGATATACAAAAGAGAAGATAACTTTATTCCTCAGATATTATATTTCATATCTCGGAGTTGTCTCTCATTACTATATATTAAACCTATAAAGCACCCCTCCCCTTCTGAAAACTATACTGTTTATCAGAAATGCAGATGCAGACTAAACTCACTAATTTTTTTACAATGTATAACTTTTAGTGTATTGTTGTTTTTTTTTACCGAGAAAAATTCACATTAACGCCTTCTGTGGTCTCTTTTCAAGTTTGCAACATTCATTCATTATCAAAAACTGATATTACTGCATGGACCTCAAATACGGTTTCTTCTTAGCCGTCCTTAAGTTCTTTTAGCACTTACCTGACAAATAATGTAATTCTAAGAATATGGTTTTATTACTATAACTAGTTTCATTTCGTAACAAACCTAATTCTTGGGGGGGGGGGGGGTCAAACCTTGAAATTCAAGGATAGACGTTACACCAAGATTTGAACAAACTTAAAGGGTGGCAGCATACTTTCATGTGCATAATGTATCTTCTGTATGAGAGATCATAGATGTAAAGGATACAGTGCATGTCATTAGGACTTAACTAGTCATTATAAATCGCGCAAACCTATATTAATAATTAGGATAAGAAATGCAATAAAGTTATACAGAGTTATTCGAAAATACAAATACATGTACAGGAAATTAGTTACTTTTTCTTGAGGTACTGAGAACCTGATAACATAAGGGATTTAAAAAAAAAAATACGGATTTTATAACAGTGGTGTTCATATTATTAATCACATGTTTAAACTGGAGATTCTTATCACATATAATAATTAATCAAAAGATATAAAGTAACATAATTCGGATTGTCTGCATTTCTAATAAATATCGAACACATTAGAAGGCAATCATTTTCACACTGAATTGTCTACGATTTTTTCCCCTTTTTTCCGATCATGACAAGAGCACACGGAGCGTGTGACTGGTCGACAGAGGATGCTTACTTCTCCATATGGCACCTGATCCCTCTCTGTTTTAGAGGTCCAGGTTAGCTCTGCTCACAATTTGTATTGATTAATTGGGCTCTTGAACATGTTCACTCTTCGTTATCTTAATATTCATATTTCAATTTAAAAAAAAAATAGAGGTAACACGTACTGCATAGTTCTGTCTTTGTTTTGAGAGAAAAAATGGGTCATTTTCCTCTGGGTTATAAACAAAAAATTAACGAAAATTGAAAATTGATGTAACAGTGTTTTACATCGAATATAAGCCGCTGCGGATAGGGGAAGGGTCCATGTACATAGACATGCACGGATCTAAATTGGTCGTGGGGGGTGTCTTCCCCCCCCCCCCGGATTTGCAGAGTTAGAAAAAAGTATATACTGAAGCAAATAAAAAGTGACTTTGCCCCCCCCCCCCCGAAAACGTGGACACCACCACCACCACGAAAAAGGCCCTTTAACGTTTTGGATATGGATGTTAGGTTTCTTTTTTATTTTTATTTTTTGGCTTGTCAAGAAATTTTCTGGGTTTGAAAAGTTTGGGAAAGGAGTTTAGGTGTTTTTTTTAATTAATTTTTTTTTTTATTTATTTATTTATTTTTTTTTTTTTGCTTGTCAAAAAATTTCTGGGTTGGAAATTTTTAGACGGGGTGGACCCCCTTTTGGGTGGATCCGCGCCTGATAGTGCCAGTCGCGGATCCAGGAATTGAAGTTAGGGGGGGGGGCGCAGAAGTAGGCAAGGGGTCTGGGGACAGCCTTGAGGCCCCCAGTGGGTCCAGGGCAAAGCCCTGGTGGGGGCCCAGGGGGCGAAGCCCCCGGAAGCTCCTGGATTCTAGAGATTTTGTAGGGTAAAAATGAGGTCTACCGAGAAGACATTTTTTCATTTTCTTGACGAAACTATGATTTACGCTAACTTTGACAGTTTTAGGGAGGGGGGGGGGGCGCCGGGTGCGCCCCCCCTTAAATCCGCCACTGAGTGCTCAGAAATTAATCTAAAAAGGGAACGTGTCAATAGAACGTTTTGTATCTAACACCCTAAAAATATATGTACAATCTTCCTGGTTCCATGCATTTGATCTTTTGTATTAATATTCCACAAACTGTGAGGTATTCAGGGGATGGAATTAATCAAGGGGGGGTGTGCTATATATAGAAGCTTCTACAGATTGTTAAACGCGACATACATGTATTTCAGGCTGAGTAATATAATAAATTGTAACTCAATCAATCGTAGTTCTTAATAGAAAAAATCGTAGTTCTTAATAGAAAAAAATCAGAGAATTAATCAATGACAAAAAACTATAATAATGTTTAATTATAAGCTTGGACCCCCCCCCCCCCCTCCTTCCCCAGTTTATGAAAAGGCAAACAGATGTGAAAAGCACTAACTTAACCCTCAGAGATCTTCTTTGTCTTTTGTACAGGTGTATGGGACAAACATGAATAAATGTCAATTACTAAATATAAGAACAATTTTTTTTTTGTTTGTGGATAATGTAAACAAAACTTTTGGCGCACTTGCTTGGAGACGAGCTTGCTCATTGGTCATATTTTATGACTTTCATATACACATAGTTCCATGACGTCATAATATAGAGAACCGAACGGGAAATGATTACAAAGACCGTCCTCATTTTAACTTTTCTTTTTTTATTGGGAGAAACGTTTTAATTAAAAATAATGGTATTAAACTTGACACAATCAGGCTTTTCTTTTTCTATGACCATTTTGTTATGAGTTTTTAACTTGAAAGAAAACAAGAACGTGTTGTGGCCATATTTTATCGGAAGTGAGAAATTCTCCATATGGTTCTTCTACATGAACTCGACTTGATCCCCCGTATGCTACACAGAGAATGATATTTACTTGAAGAATGGCTCAGACAGAGCCTTGATTTCGGGGGAAAAACGAATTTTTATTGTGAACGACAGTGGTAACACGGGGCATTATAACGATAAAAGGAGATGAACAAAGGAGTCGCTACAACCAAGAATTTAACGAAAACACATGTTCACGGAAATGGCTTGCGATAAACATTGATAGGGACATTGTTCATGCGACAGACGTTTTCTTATCAACAATACGAAAGGAGGGAGAGATTTTAAGAAAACTTGAAGGTAAAGTAACTTAATTTATTAAGATATTTATAGCTGAGAAGGGGAGTTGAAGATCGTGACCATGTTAGGAAATAGGTCAGTCTGTTTATGGTCAAGGTTACATGATCGCCATGCTTGTAAATAAGTCCTAATCATATCAGTTGAGAGCTTGGTCATGTGCAGCTTAGTTTAGAGGATTAAATTAAACATCCAGGAGTGATGTAAAGATATATTATTCGTAATAATTGTGTTATATTTTTGGAAGAGAAATGATTCGCTGTGAGAAGCACATCTCTATTTTAGGTATTGATGTTTATGTGCATGAGCTGTATACATGTAATTTCTGTTATGTATTGCTAATACATCTGTGACACGATGTTTGTAACTTTTGACCAGTTAATTTGGAAGACTTTAATCCCGAATAACTTCTTGATAATGTTTTAAGAGTAATAAATT